CAAATTATCTATCCACAACATATCTTGATTAAATGTCACAATTGATCTTTTATACTTGGTTCTTGAATATTTTTCGAGTTTTGATTTTTTTACAATCAACCATTTTTAACCTTTAATTGGACAAAATAATATTCAAGAAATATTTTATATAATAAATCTAAACCGTACAAATACTCAACGACGAAGATAGTAATAAAATAATAATAAATGTGAAATATCTTTGAATATATGAAATTTAGTAATTTACTTTAAGTTTTATCAAATTTTGTTCTTTAACATTAGTCATTCTCTATTTTGTAGGGATGAACTTTACAAGAGACTTATTTTTCACTAAGAAATGCTCTCTCCATTTCATATTAATTGTTCATTATATTTTTTTTATTAAAAAAATAATGTAGATCAAGACATTAATTGTTCATAGTGATTCCTTTTTTTTCACAAAATTTTCTATAAATTTATATTTCTTGATGTAGCATTAAAACAAGATGGGTGGATCGGAAGATTATTTCATATTAATAAATATGAATTTAATAATAATCAATGGTCAAAATTACTATCATTTGACTTTCAAAAGTCAAAATATAAAAACACCTTAGAGAGATATTTGTCAAACCTTTATTTGTGTTACAATGTGCTCCCTGATTTTTTTTGTTTATTTGACTTGTTCATTCGTTTCAAAATATTACTTTAGTCCCTATTTTAATTAAGAAATGTGTATAACGAGGTAAAATCTCACGTTTTTTGAAACTATTTTAGGTACATCAATAAAAATAAAAAATACATGTTAAAAAATTACATAAAAAACTCTAAAAACAAGATGTGACAAGAATATTTTATTTTATCAAATAATCAATGAAAACACACAAACAAACAAAAGTTATCGAGAAGATTTGCGAAAATAAAATTGTAACCAAAATGGAGACGGAGGGAGTATTATACATTTTCGTGCAATTAGAGTGATTATTTGACGGCAAATTATATGGTGGACCTAAGGTCCACCATAAACATTCATATGAGCAAAACAAACATTTCTTTACTATTTAAATAAACATTTATATTTAGGGGAATTTACATAAATAACACTAAAACATAATGACTTTTCCTAAATAGGATCACATGTGTTTTTTTCTCAATGTAGCACTTTTAGTCATTTTCCATTAGTCATTATTCAAGTAAATATTAGTCATCAATGGATATTATGGACATTATGAAGTGCTATTTAGGGAAAAAAACAATTTAAGTACTATTTAGAGAAATGACTTAAGTTTTAGTGCTATTAAGTGCAAATGTTTCTTTATATTTTTAAATAAAAAAACAAAAAAGCATTTTATTATGTGAGAAGGTCCATAAAAATAATATGCACACAAGGTACACAATAGAAGCACTCTTATTTGACAATTCTAATATAATAATCATAAAAAAATTCAGTGGTGCGAAAATAACACGACCTTTTGAGTTTATTATGATAATATCATCATTTGCTCCTAATTGTTCAATGGAGGTTCCATGGAGGGCAACGCCCCAGAAGTGGGGTTCAAGGGACGTCATCATTTGTCTAAGGTTGAGATCTTGTGTTAAAAATTCATTTAAATAAACACGAACATTGGAGAACCGGCGGATTTTGTGACCTGGTTGGCCCGACCAGATCCCGATTTTAGATTAAAAGCTACTATTTTTAAAAAGAAGTGGGGTTCAAGGTACGACAACCATTGTTCGAGGTCTAAGGGGCAGCAGTCCTGGTTGGGGTTGAGATCTTGTGTTAAATATTCATTTGAATAAACGCGAACATTAGAGCAGTATAATTAAACCTGGATCGGACCACCAATCTGACTTATTGGACCGCGACCCAGACATAATTCCAGTCTAGTTCATCCCACAAACTCGTTTTCACATTGGACCATTGAAACCTGGGAGAACCAGCGGACTGTGTGACCCGGTTAGGCTCGACTGATTCTTGATTTTAGATTAAAAGCCGCTATTTTTAAAAAAGAAAAAGGCAATGCAATATGGTATATATTTGATGTGCAATTTATTTAGAAAATAATTTTAAAAGATTTCCAACTATTAAAAAAGAACTATATGTTTATATAATATATATATTTATTTTATGTACTTTTAAAGTAATTCAAAGTTAAAAACAATTAGCATTATTTACTTTTAAAGTAAGAATTGAACTATAAATAATTTTTATTAATTAAAGATATCTAATAATATAAAATAATATTATAATTCTTGATGGCCAGGTCCTTGACACCCGATTCGACCGGTTCGACCGATTAGCCTTTGAGCCACTCCATCGTCCGGGTCGATGTCTGGGCCTGTTTTTATAACATAGCATTAGAGAGAGGTGCAAAACGCTAAAGTATAGCTTAGTCTTTCCTACATCTATATAACAGTCGTAAGATTGGTCGAAAGGATAAGTTCAAAATCAAATCATCGATCACAAAAATTCCATGCTTTGTTCTTCACATTCTCTATTAGTTGTATCCAATTGAAAGATTCATGTGAACCTTCGAATAGTTTCAATATGAAAGGGAATACACATCCATCTTTAAGAGAATTCAAGTGCTGGTTCAGATTTCATTATTTTTTGTGCCTATAGGTAAAATGAACGAGAAACTACAGGATTCTTTCTTAGGAAAAATAGGCACGAAAGTTGTCACCAATGTTTTGAAAACCGGACCGGCCGTCGACTCGGACGAGGGTGTGGGTCAAGGGCTAACCGGTCGAACCGGTCAACCCGGGAGTCAACGAACCGGTCAAATATAATTAATATATTTATTTATATATGTATATTATTAGATATTTTCAATTAATGTCATTGTGAATATAAAATTTAATACTTTAATTTCTATTTTTATTAAAAGTTCAGATTGAATGTCTAATAAATACATAAATAGTAAAAAATACTCCCTCCGTCCCAAAAAGATTTACACCTTTCAAAAAAATTACGTCCCACAATCTCCTACCCATTTCTATTAAAAAACCATTTTTATCCCTTACTTTTTCAAACCCTACCTATCACATCATACCTTTTTCTTAATAATCTATACATCACATCCTACTTTTACCCATTACATCAAAGGTATTTTTGGAAAGTCAACACAAAATTATCACTCCCTTAATTTCAACTTTAGTCAAAATGTGTAAATCTTTTTGGGACGGAGGTAGTAATACTCATATTTTCAAAAATAAATAGACTAGATAATGTGTTCTTCTGTATTATTGACATTATAAAGTTTATATTTCATTGATTAAAAATGAAATGTAGCATATTAAAGTTTAAAAGTTGATAAAACAAATATATTATATCAACATAGTTCTTTTTTAATCATTTGAAGTTTTTTAAATGATATATAAAATTGATTATGTAATTCTTTCTCTACATAATCTTCGGTAATATATAAAATAGTGCGTTATTATAAACAAAAGCATCGGCTGCACAAGTGGATTCATTTTTTCTGCCAAGCTTTGCCATCTGGTTTCGAAACCCACCTTCGCCTCGATTTTTAATTCTCAAGCTAAGTAGAGAGTATGGGTCGATGGGTCGACCCGGGTCAGCGGTTTTTTCCGGGTTGGCCGGTTTCCAGCGAGTCAAAAAGAAACTGGGTTTTGATATTGGACCGGACCGGGAAGCTCACCGGTTCGCAGTCTGACCGGTCAAACAGGCCGGTCCGGTCCGGTTTTAAAATCATTGGTTGTCACATGAAGTTGGGGTGGATGATTGCATGCATACCATCGCCGACTCCCATGCCACTAATCCTTGTGATAATCCCACCTATCTTTGTAGCCTTGTTGGAGATCGATCTTAACTATTAAGTTTGATGTGAATCATGTCTCCCAGCGCATGCATACACCCTGAAAGAGATTTTCAATCCCTGAAGAATATTTTGCGATATATTTAGGGCACTATTGATATAAAAATACCGAGTAATTTATTCTTATCTATATTCAAATTTTCATTTCTTTATATATTATATTTATAAAAAAATTGATGGGTCTATATATCGAATGGTCTTTGATATTTTGGAGAGTTGTGCTATTGTGGTCCTAATGTCCACATATAAAATATTAACCTTCTCACATGCTCTATCTGTCTCATATATTTCTTTGCGTTACGTAAAACAAAGAAAAATCTCAAAATTTTTTAATATATTTTATTGAAATATTGATATAGATATAAAAAAATGAAACTTACATATTAAAAAACTATATCATAAATTCAACAAAACAAGTGGTGACAAGAATATATTTTATTTTATCATACAGATCATGAAAAAACACAAATAAATAAAAGTTCTCATGAAGTTGTAATAGTGTTATGCGAAAGAAGATATGGGACTGAGCGAGTACTTTATATGAGCTCATAGTTTGATCTTTTTAATTTTTTAAAGCCCAAAACATATATATAACTAGTATTTATTTTTTTGAAAACAAAGAAATCACTTCACTCAACCAAAAAAGGCCGTATAAAATCAGGTGGAGTCACAAACCAAACCCCAGCCTCCATCACAACTCTTTTCGCCAACACATGATCTACCACATTAGATGTTCGAGGGACAAATGACAAAGTAGCATAATTAAACTGAGATAACAAGCCTCGACAATCACTAATAATCGAACCAACATGAGACAAAAAAGTAGACTCTCCATTTATTGCATCCACAACCCTAGAGCAATCCGAGAACACCTCCAACTCCGTAAGTCCTTGCTCCCTTGCCCAACCCAAAGCCCTTCTACATGCCATCGCCTCCGCTAAACCTGGATCAGTCTCACATACTAATTCTCCATTCAACGCAGCAAAAAAAGAGCCATCATG